TTCACTTGAAAAGCTTCAAAAATAGGAAATACTGCCTCTGCCTTCAAGCCACTTAAAATGTAACTGGGAAAAGATACATAAACTCATGAAAAGTTAATTAGAGCAAAAAAATAGAGGAAAGAGAATTATTAATGCAGGCTTAAAACAGTAAAGGTAAAAATAAAATAACTTGAGAGGTTGCTCAATTCATTGGAGCATTGTCCTGTACACCAAAAAGGGTTTCAGGTTTGATTCCCAGTCAGGCCACATACCTAGGTTGTGGGTTTGATCCCAGGTTAGGAAGTGTGCAGAGGCAGCCAATTGAGGTCTTGGTGTCTCTCTCTCTCTCTCTCTCTCTCTCTCTCTCTCTCTCTCTCTCTCTCTCCTCTCTCCTCTCTCCTCTCTTCTCTCTTCTCTCTCTCTCTTTCTCCCATTAAACATATCCTAGGGTGAGGATTAAAAGAAAATAAAAATGAAAAGAATTTGAGAAGACAAATTCTGAGTTCCTAAGAAAGATGGTCACTGTGAACCAAGTGGTCTGGAAAGAAGAAGGCCCTGACTCGGAGTGCTCCATGCCATCTGCCAGTGCCTCAATGAGGACAGGCTACTTGGCTGTCCTTGTGAACTCTGGTCTGATATCTACCTGGAATTCAGAATCCACTTGTACTTTCTTTTAACTTGAATGATCTATAGTGACAATGACCTGGCAATTTTGCTGTTGGCCAGCCCATGGATGCTTTAGATCAGTGGTTGGCAAACTCATTAGTCAACAGAGCCAAATATCAACAGTACAATGATTGAAATTTCTTTTGAGAGCCAAATTTTTTAAACTTAAACTTCTTCTAACTCCACTTCTTCAAAATAGACTTGCCCAGGCCGTGGTATTTTGTGAAAGAGCCACATTCAAGGGGCCAAAGAGCCGCATGTGGCTCGCGAGCCGCAGTTTGCCGACCACTGCTTTAGATAATTAATCATCTATTAGAGGTTGTCAAGTGTTGTGGCTGTGGCTAATTCTTAAGCTCAGGACACCAGTCCCAAGAGCCACCTGTAGGAGCCAGCTATTGTGGCCAGTGTCCTTCCCACAAAACCTCCTCAGAAAATACAACAGAGCGAATGCAAGGGCCCCGTGCCTTCCTGACCCTGATATGGCCACGGAATCATTCTGGACTAGTGCTCCTCCAACTGAATGAAGTTGGAACTTAAGGTGAAACTGTGGCCTATGTGTATCTCTCACACAGCTTTTCAAGGCTTGTTGAATCCATCCTCCATAGTTGAACCAGGTCTCTAGCCTTGATCAGTATGTACTTGGCCTAAGATATACATTGGGCCACCCTTTTTTTTGTGTTCTGTGGTTATAGAAGTTTCTATTAGAGATGTGTTGAGAGAAGCAATGACACAAGTAGTTGCAAGGAAAGGGGGAGCAGTCTGTGAGGGGCTAAGAAGGACCTCGCTTACTTCTGAAAAAACAGATTTGTTAGTCCCATTACAGATCTGTGATCACAATCTCTGGAGTCGGATCTAGGAGTCTGCATTGAAGCAGCACTCACACACCCTAGCCAGCCTCCAGACTGAAGAGTCCCGGGTTTGATGTGTCTCTCTCACACATCAATGTTTCTCTCTGTCTCTCCCCTTCCTTCCAATCTCTCTAAAAAATCAATGGAAAAATATCCTCGGGTGAGGATCAACCAAAAAATATAGCATCACTTGCAGTGTACAGTAATCAAATAGTATCATTTTATTCAATGTCATTTTGTTATAACCTAGGAAATTAAGCCCATGGTAAAACTGGTTTTGTTACACGTTGTTTCCCTTAAAATCATAGAACTCATCAACATTAAGCGAGGACTTACAGTACTTGAAAAAAGAACTGCTTGGTGACTCTCTTGGTCATGGGATTGGAACAACCTAAAAGCATTAATTCAGGCTGTTGATTATATCTTGCCTCTTTGGGTAAGCACTCTGTGTGAAAGCGGCCAGCATAGTACCCTGCAACTGACAGCCAAAATGGCTTTCCTATCTTTTGGCAAAACATGTTATTGATAATTTCCCTGGTGTACTTGAATCCCAAACAGGCAGAAATTTCTTCCAAAGAAAATGAGCTTTGCAGGCGACTCAACTTTCCTTAATTATAACTCTGAGAACTATTATTTATTGATGACTTACTAAGGGCCAAGGCATATGTCTAGTAGTACATAGGAAAAAAATCTGAGTTATTTATTAAATGATCAAGGCTACTGAATGCTTTACATTCAACCTTCAGAGCACTTGCCAAGGAGTTCATTATCTCCATTTTACAAAACCATAGGACTTATTATTGAGCTCTTAATCTGTTCCAAGTGCTTTATGTATATTTATACAATTTAATCAGTACAGCAACTCTATGCGTTAGGTATACAGGCTGAGTTTAAAGTAACTTGTCTAGAACACAAATTATAACTGATTTGATTCAAATCTGAGTACACGAAGCGGTGAGCAGTAGTGCTGGAAGGAGGGCAGGCCAGTCCCAACACTCCCAGTTACAGATTCTTAGCAAGAACAAGATAAACAACAAAAACAAACAAACAAACACACACTCAGGTTCAGAGGTCACAGAGGTAAAGTCTGATTATCCCAGATCCTCTCACCTCTTCCTATTGCTAAGTGAGTTACCCGTCCTCACTTTGAGCAAGGACAATGCTGCTGCGGAGGCAGTCTTGCAAGAGAGCTCAGAAGTCAATGGGATGTATTTTGGGGGCAGACTGACTGGTTTAGCTCCTTTAATTTGTTCGTCACACGTTTATTAAGCACCTACTATGTTCAAAACACTCCTAACAGAATAGAGCATGCATGCATGAGAACAGCAATCCTGAAACTTCCAGGAGACGGAAGGCAGTAGGTGAGTGCTGACTTGTGTAGGAGGTTCTCCCACTTTCTTCTTCCTCAGGAATTGTTCAACCCCTCAAGGTGGCAGGAGCAGCAACCTTCATTACCAGGTCGCACAAACTTGAGAAGGAAGAGAAAAACATTGCGCACAGAGCTAGACGGATCACCTAGGGAGATGCGTCAGAAAAGCTGGAGCGCTTGGGACTCACTCAGTCCGCCAGGCCGGATCCTACAGAGGCTGGCTTTCTAGAGAGAGAAGAGATGATAGAATTTGCGGAGCCAGGGGCTTAGAGTCCCCTACTCCAACCCGCAAGCCCAGCAGGTTTCCGTGCAAAAACCTTTTGAGACGCATGTATACTTTGTCCTCTAACAATGCAAACGTGGACAGCTGCCCACTCAATTCTCGTTCCGCCTCCATTCAGAGCAGTCGATGCCACAGCGGCATCTTCTGCGCTGTAGTTATGCAACCTCGCTCGCAGCGGGAGTTATTTCCTGTGCTTCTGGCTGCGCCAGATTCATGTAACACGCCTATCCTGGGCTTCAATGGAAGTCGTTCTCCATTAACAGCCACTCTAGCTCTAAGAGATGAATGCCCTGCACGGCATACCCCTTGAATCAGTAAGAATCCGAGGCATGAAAACCAACTCTTTCTATCTCCAACACACGCGCGCGTACCCACACATACCCCCCCCCCCCCCCACCACACACCCGTTGTGCATGCAGCTAGGACACTGCAGCGATGCAAGCCGAGGACAGCAGGCGGAGCTCTCTTTGTACAGTCCCTCTCCTAACCCCCACCAACTAAAGATGAACTCATGCCAGTTCCATTCTTTGCTCTGCAAGGAGAACGCACACGGCAGACCAGAGCGGCCTCCCCTGTCCTCCTAGAGCACAGTTATTCTAGCTTCTCCGTTGTTCAAACAACCTGGATATTCCCAAAACGAGTGACTTGGGGGAAGAGGGGGGGACGGACCGCTGCCGCAACAACGCAGCCTCCGAGGCAGCTCCCGGTGCAGCTCGCACCCCCGCCCCCTGTCGCGGCGTGCCAAGAGTTTGGAGCGCGCGCACGCACACGGGGCTCGGCGCCTGGCGTATCCCTCCGCCTCCCTCCGATTTGGGAAATGAAGGGAGGAGGGGACTACTTTCCTGAAACTTGCTATGCTGCACACGACTTGGAGCGGCCGTGATTCGCTCCGGGGCTGCAGCTTTGGGGCCTCCTGCCCACGCACCCTCACAGCCCCGGGCACCCCGCTCTGCACCTTCCTTCCCCACCCCCCACCCCCCACCCCGTGCTCACTTTGCTTCCTCCCCTCCCTACCCCACCCCACCCCCGGGAAGCCAGCGTCCGGGAGAAGTCGCCAGGGACTACTTCGCCTCCTCCGGCGGGCGGGCGCCCCGGGTTCGGGCCGCGGCGGCGGCGGCGGAAGGAGCGGGCGGCGTGAGCGCTTCCGCCGCCCCCCTGGCAGGCAGCTCCCCTCGGGCGGGTGTGCAGCGCTGAGGAGTCGGCCCGCCGCGCGGCTGCTGGGCACCCAACCGGCTGGCGGCTGACCCGCGGCCGCTCTCCTCGCCCTCAGGCTGCTCCTCGCGAACCCTTGCTCCCCGGGGTGCGCCCCGCGTCTTCGCCGGCCCGAGCGAGGGGGACGACGATCGGCCGCCGGCCCCCGCCTCACGCGCTGCCCGCCGCCCCCCTCTCCGCCCTCAGGAGCCGTCCCGGCCGGAGCGTGTCTGGAGGAATCCGCCGCCGCGAGGCCCCGCGCCCGGCTCTTCTGCTCCACCCGGAGGAGGAGGAGGAGGACCGCCGGCCCCGCTCGCTGCCGCCGCCGCCGCCGCCGCGGGGGCTGAGCGGGCGCCGGCCGCGGGGCGGGAGATGGTGGGCTGGGCGCCGGTAGGACCGCGCCGCCGCCGCCGCCGCCCGGAGCCCGGGCTCCGCACCCCCGCGCCGGCCCCCGCCGCCCAGCGGAGCGCCGCTTCCTCCTCGCCGCATCCCTGAGGGCAGCGCCGCCTCTGCTCCGGCTGCTGCTCCACCGCCGCTCAGCACCCGGCGGCGGGAGCAGCCGCTCTCCAGTCGCCCTTGGCAGCCCCCCCCTTTTTCTTTTTCTTTCTTTTTTTTTTTTTTTTTCTTTTCTTTTTTTCTCTCCTCCCCGGCCTCCTCGGACCTCCCGGCCGGGCAGCTGAGGCGAGCGAGGGGAGAGGCTGGGGTCGCCACGGCGGAGGCTGCCGCCGCCACCCCCCCGCGGGGGCGGCCGGGGTTCCCGGCTGGGGGGGCCCCGCTCCGCGTGAGGCGTCCACCATGGTGAGGCCCCTGAGCCGCTGCCCGCGCGCCCCCCCGGCCGCCGCCGCCGCCTCCGGCCCCTCGGTGCTCCCGCTGCTCCTCCCGCTGCTCCTCCCGCTGTTGCGCCTCCATCTCCAGATCGGATCACGGTGAGGGAAAGATGAGCGAGGAGACGGCGACTGCTGACAACGAGTAAGCGCCCCATGGATCTTGATTCCTTACCCCACCCCCCTGTATCCTTCCTTCCTCCGCCGGCTCCCCCCCCCCCCCCCGCCCCGACCCCCTACCCCGAACCCCTCGATGACTTGGGTGCAGGGAGGCTTGCAGCCCTGGAGAGTTGGGTGCATCTTGTGGTGCAAACAGTATTTGGTTTCTTGAGCCATTCCATTTCATGGCAGCACTCACCCCCTCCCACCCCCATGTAGTTGCTTCCTTCTGGGGAAGGGTATTGGGGGTTGGGGGTGGATGGCAGTTTTATGTCCAGGAGATGGAGTGATGGGGGTGGGTGCGTGGATGGAAGGAGGAGGCAGGGTAGAAATAATGACCCCTTTGCCTGCAAGACCTTTGGCCTGTCCCTTTTTTTTCACGGGAGCGTGCCAGTCAACATATCCCGAATATGCATCCTGTTTCCTTTATAGCTTATTTCACTTGGAAACTAATGTGTGGGAGCACCTCCTGCAGCAAACGGCTCTTGAATCTTAATTTGATGAGTCAGTGACTCTTCAATACAGATTAAGCCTCCGCCCCCTCCCCTCCTTTTTTAAACTTATGACCTGTAAGATTCTTGTAAAAAATGGGGCCAGGGGGACTTCTTCTTCTTTTTTTTTTTTTAAAGAATTTAATGGGATTATGGACACCTGGAGTGTGGGAGATGTTGAACCATTATATTGTGCCTTTGCGAACATTGGGCATGTGTTTGTCAGGTGCCTAGGAGAATTGTGAATGCTAATTTTTGTTTTTCAGCTATCTTAAAACACACCCTTTACACCTTGGTGTTGATTTAACACTATTTCCGTTGCTGACTGTGTTGATGACTTCATTGATGAACTTCTAGAGCAGCCTGGTTCAAGTTTTTATTCATGTGGGCTGCTGTCCTTATGTTTTGCAAGCCAAATACTTTGCCTTTTTTTTGCAGTATTTTTGCTTTAACGTAACAGCTGCTTGGAGAAGTATCGGGTGAGATGTTTTCTGTTGAGACTGGATTTAAGTTCATGCGGGATATTAGCTTCCGTTTTCTTGTAATTCAAATGTTGTTTATCTTTTGAGGGATGGAAAGAGTTAAGTGAGTTACGGCTAGCCCTAGGATGCATTCCTTTAAATATAAAGTGCATTCCTCGAGTCAGACCTCTTTTGAGAGAACTTTTTAATGAAAGTCCCAAGCCTAGGCCTGTTTAACATAATATAGCTCGAGAAACGCCAGGCAGCGTTTTCCCTTCGCCGCCCTCCCCCCAGCACGCTCCTCCGATGAGCGGGTGAGGGAGAAGGTGGTTCGCTGCAGTGTCAGTGCCGCCGGGAAGCAGAAGTGGCCGCCGCCATGTTCTCTCTTTTTTTGTGAATCGCCCTCATTTGCATAGCGCACTCTTCATTCATAAAAACATAATTAAACATCCATCACCTTGGACATCTTGAAAAGGATTTCCCAAGAAAAAAAAAAAAATCGAAGCTTGATTGTCTTCCACGTAGATTTTTTTTGAGTTCAGGAAGTAAGGGAAATTGCAAGTTTTAGGTTAAATTCTGAAACATACGCGCGCACACACACACAAACAACTACCCCTGTTCTCAGAATGTTGACACAGTTATGTGGGAAATATCAGTTCGGGGAGGTGCTGGGATCACGTGACCGCCTCCATTCATAAAATACCTGGCTGTCCATTCACAGTGCAGTACACTGTCTCGTTGCCTTCCGCAGATTAGACCTACTTTGAGTGAGATCAAGGACTGTGTCTCAGATAACGCCTGGTTAGGAGAGCAGCTGCTGCAAATTCTGAGCAGAAGGACGATATTTTTTTGGGTCTCTTAAGAAAGCTTGGGTCAACATGTCAAGTTCACTTGAGGGATAGGAAAAGACTAATTACCATATTTAAAGTGAAATATTTAATACCTCAGCTAATAGAAAAGCAAATGAGAGAATGCGGATTGACACACGTGTAAAATGGTTTCTAAATGGCTCTTTCTGTAATATTTGTCATGAGCAAATTCAGAGCAAGTTTTTGGTGGAGTGATGTCAGTGGATGATTTTGCTGTTACACGAAAAATGAGTAAATATTCCCAGTGGTTTAATCCCAAAGATGTTGATATTTGAAACACGAAATGGCAGTTTTTACTGAGAAAATTGCTTCTCTCTCTCTCTCTCTCTCTCTAATTTTAAATGTACTTAGTGTGGGACAACTTGGAAATCTCACCCATATTTTTGGAATTCTGCTGTTTTCACAGATATATCCTGCTTTATTAATGTTATTCCCTAGGAGGTTTGTTAAGCTAGTTTTTGTAGAACAAAATTAATGTTTTAGCATATAATATTTTGGTATTAGATCTTAACTCTTCATGGGAACAAACTCTTAGGATTTTACTTGATTTTTTTTTTTTAATATTAGAAAGTGATGTGTTCATCTGGTAGTCAGTTTTCTTAGGGCCAACATTGTACATTAGATAAACCATAGTAAACTTGTTTTGAATGTAGCTTTTATTCTGGTAATTTATATATCTCATCTTTATTATAAAGTAATGTTTTGAAGTGGCAATTTATTGTTTAACCATATATATTATGAAGGCAAAAGAAATATATAATGGCCTATGTCCTTGAAGGTTTAACTGTTTAAAACTGCCCTGTAATGTGGACTTTATTTATAAAATCCTTATGTATATTTTTTTCTTTCCTCAGTTTTTTTTCAAAGTCTCAATTAGTAGGAATTTAATTACAGTAGAGATTATTTTTAACACTGGAATGTTTTTACACTTAATTTCAACTGTTAAAAAAAACACAAACAAGAATCACTTCTAGGCCTTTAGGCTAAAGGATCAAGTGTAGAAAAAAAAAAAAAAGTGAAAGTCACCAATATCTTGAGAAACCTTAATCTTTTCTAAGCCATTGTAGTAAAATACAGTAAGGCCTTTGTGACTTCATTTTGAATTCCTCTATTATATGCTTTATTATTTGAAATAAGAGTTATGTGTAGAGAGAGAGCGCTCTCAGAAGTTGATTGTGGATATATATTGATTCAAGAATTAGTGAAGATCTACTACGTGTAAGACTTTGTCTTATGCAATATCAGACTTTGGGAAGGGTTGGTAAAATTCTGCTTTTCTTCAATCTTTAGTAGGAACTGGAACTGAGTTAAAAAAGCAGTTTAAAAAAATAATTCTTTTCCTGCAGGAGAATTGTTTATTTCAGATAATGTACAAAATGGTCTTTAAAGTGAAAAAATAATAACCTATTTGCATTTCTATTACTAAGATGTCTTAATATTTGATATATAAACACACTTTTCATATGATATGCATAAATCATATTCATTTATTGGATTTTTTTTACCATGTGCCAAGCACCGATAAATGCTTTGCTCATGTATTATATAATTTATGTATATGCGTGTATTTTTAGCAGAAATGGAATTGTGTAGCAGATATTATTATAGCTTAATATATTGTGAATATTTTCCTATGTCATTACATTCTAGAATATAATTTTAATCGCTACATTATATTCAGTATATAATGTGCATTAGTTTTAGTCAGTCTACTATTTTTGGATATTTCTAAACAGTGCTTTATTTGATCCTGAGTTCTGTCTGTATCCAAATATATTACTTTTTCCTTGAGATAGTCTAGGAATGGAGTTAAAATAAGTAAGTTTTAAATTTTTTTTTAAATTGCCCTCTAGAAAAGAATAACTCACTGTATCACAGTACTTATACTTTGAAATGTCTGTCCATTTCTCTTAGAAATAAGTTTTTGCCATTTAAAAAAAAATTCTCACCTAAGTATATGTTTTTTTATTGATTTTGAGAGAGAAAGAGAAAGATATGAGAGAAACAAACATCAGTTGCCTCCCATACCCACCTGGACCCAGCCAGTCAAGGTATGTGCCTTGACTGGGAATTGAACCTGCTATATGGGACATTGCTCCAACCACCTGGGCCATGTGGCCAGGGCAATTTTGCCAAATTGAATGAGGAAATGAGATCTTGTGCCTATTTTTAAAAGGTGCTGGATGGTAAAATAAAATTGATACTTGAAAAAACAAACAAACTTGTGAGGTTGTTTTTGGACAACTGGACTGAAACAAAATACTATATAATAAAATAAAATTACAATGTATGTGAGCATACAGAAGTCGTCTGCAGATCCTTTATTTAACTCTTACCAACCTTTATGTAGTAGGGTATAGTGTAGAGAACATTGGACTTGGAGCTGGGTGATGCAATGCTATCCTAACTGTCACTAATTTTTTCTGTGATTCTGGGCAAGTGACAGCTTCTATGGGCCTCAGTTTGCTTGTAAATCAAGGTATATGAACTGAGCATTATCATGGCCCCTTCCTGTGCTAAATCACCCTAAAGTAATACAGTGGTAGAAATACTGCAAGTCACTAGCCTTGTAACGTACACATTTGTTACTTTTATTATGTTGTTGTTTGTGAAATATTGAAGCAAATGAAAGAAAAACTTCTAGTAGAGATCTGGTAGGATGATGAATTAAAAGCATGAATTTTGATAAACTGAAATAAAAAATCTGGAAACAATTAGTATGTTCAGAATCTTTTAAGATTTTCTTATTTTGGGCTTAAGTATCCTGTGTCTTTGATATTATATTTCAATATATCATAGATGGAGAACTCTTTAGTGCTATTGGGTTTAAATACCAATTTGGGTATTTCTAAAAGGAGTACTTGTACTAACAAGGTACCAACCCTTGTGTTTTAATTGTTCCAGAGGGTCAAACAAAGTAAGTCTTTTCATTTGGTTATTCATACAAATCATGTTAATCTAATACTAAGAGGTAATTTAATTCATTTAAGGAGCTAATACAGATAATGAAATTTTTAATTTAATTTTTAATTTTTTTATTGATCCACTAGAGGCCCAGTGCACAAATTTGTGTATGGGTGGGACCCCTCAGCCTGGCCAGCGATCAGGGCCAATTGGGGGCAGTCTTGCCCACTCCCCATTAGGGCCAGTGGCTGGTGGGGGGAC